ATGGTATGTCCAAAGTATGGGAGATGAAGTCCGGCCATCCTGGCTTCTAAGGAGCACTCTGGCTGTACTTCTTCCAATGTAGATTTATCTATTTACTTGTTCTTCTGGCAATCCATGGTATTGTCAATATTTTTTGGCAACACCAAAATTCAAATGTATCGATTCATTCATGGTCTTCCTTATTCATTGTCCAGCTCTCACATGCATATGAAGGGACCGAAAATGCTGAAATATCCATTGCCATGGCATGGGTCAGGCACACTTTAGTCCTCAAATTGACACACTTGCTCTTGAAAACGTTAAAAAGGTCTTGTGCAGAAGATTTGCATAATGTGTAATACACATCGTTTGATTTCTTGACTGCCGCTTCCATGAGTGTTGATGGTTGATCCAAGCAAAATGAAGTCGTTGACAACGTCGATCTTTTCTCCATTTATATGGATGTTGTTTATTGATCCAGTGGGGAGGATTTTTGTTTTCTTTACATTGAGGTGCAACCCATACCAAAGGCTGTAATCTTTTATCTTCATCAGTAAGTATTTTAAGTCCTCTTCATTTTCAGCAAGCAAGGTTGTATCATCTGCATTTTGCAGGCTTTTAATGAGTCTTCTCCAATCCTGATGCAAGCCATGATAGTTTTAGTAGTCTCATATGCCTGGGAAAGTTGGACAGTGAATAAGGAAGACCGTAGAAGAATGGAGGCATTTGAGTTGCCATGTTGGAGACAAATACTGAAAGCATCATGGACTGCTAGAAGAACATATAAATCTGTGTTGGAAGAAGTACAGTTAGAAAGCTTAGAAGCCAAGGTGGTGAGACTATCTCTCATACTTCAGACATGATACAACCTTTTTTGCTGAAAGTGAAGAGGACTTAAGATACTGATGAAGAGAAAAGCTTGTTGAAGGATTTCACTTTGTGTTCCATCAATTCCTGGAGTCTAGTTTTTCACCAAAGCCTTCGGTGCAGCTTGGACTTCTTCTTCTAGTTCCATCAATTCTTGATCATATACTTCCTCTTGAATGTGGCTTAGGGAGTTTAACTCACATCAATTGCCTACTCCACTTACTCAACTTCCACAAACTTTCATTTCCTTTCTTAAACGTAGCATAGGAAGTTTAAGTCACTCTGGCACTGTGTTCTGCCAATTTACCCAAAAGACCCATCGCAACATCCCATCCCAGAGCCTCCTTGACCCACCACCTTACAGCCGGAGTCCCTATCTCTGGGTTTCTGGACTTGGACATGTCTAGTACCTGGGCCTACCAGTGCTTTCTACACGGACCTCACCCTCAGTATCCCCTCCCCCTGCATCTTGAACATCACCCTGGAGTCAGCTAAAGTTAGGAGTCCTCTCATCCTCCCAGGAAGAGTACCTTAGGGTCAGCTACTTCCACCTGGACTCTCTGGGGCTGTCCTATGCTGACCTCCAGAACAGGCCCCCCAGTTCAATCCTCTTGTATCCCTTCTTGTCAACTCTGCTTATACTGAGAAGAGCGAAAGGCCTGGAACACACAGAGTTCCAGTCCTGGACACACCACCTGTGACTAACATCATTATTATTGTTGTTGTTAAGGGCCATCGAGTCAGTTCTGACTCAGAGCAAGCTGGTATAGGGTTTCTGAGGAGCAGCTGGTGTGGTTCAAAGCCCAGTGCTTGATCACAGGTAATATTTATGAAATGGTCATATACTAACCCAAGCACGCTCCATAATTTAGCTAATTTAACACACCCAATCGTCTTTGAAAAATCTCCATTTCACAAATGTGAGAACTGGCCTTCAGAGAGATGAAGTGACCACTCTACCCAGCCAGAACCAGAGGTCAAGAATCCAATTCTCTGACAGTTGATTGGATGACAAGGTACCACTTACACAGAGCCCTAAAGACGGACCTGCTCTTTACACTTTTATACATTATCTGCTTAGAAGCACTAGGGGTGCTGACTCCCCATCAAGACATGGCCTTTTGACAGTCCGACTGACTACTACAAGAAACAAGCAAATTGCTCGCCCAGGAGACATCAAGGCCAGCAGTCGGGTCCCCTCAGGGCAAACTCCCTTCCAAGACTAAGATTCAATGGGAATACATGAGTAGACATGTGCTCTGACTGGTGACCATGTTGGTTACCAATAAGGGGAAGTGAGGGAAAAACAGCAATGAAGCTACGAGCAAAGCCCTACAACATTCAATAGACTCCTATGAATCTGGGTGGAGACCTGGTTGGCCAGCAGCGTGGCAAGACCTGGGGACTCTTGGGCCCAGAGTCAGTGACATAGCCACAAAGGACTAGAATGGAAAATGAAGTGTCCACCTGATAAGAAGAGAGGGCATATGCATAAGAACACCCACACGTGCAGATAATACCCACTTGACCTGGCTT